AGAAACAGCAGATTTTACCCTTGGTTGCATCCTCAGTTCCAAAAACAGGAGGCTGAAGCAGAGTGCTACCTTCTATAAGGGCATGTGGTGGTGTATGAAACAGTAGGGTGGGCAGGTGGGCAGAATTCCAGCCACTGGGAATGGTGAGAAGGAACCAGAACAGCATAACCTGAAACTTGTGCTAGTCCCTCCCCTACACACTCCTATCTTCCCTGATTCTTGGTTCTGTGCCCCATTAACTTGTTCATGGACTGCATATTCCACTCTTACCTGGAATCAGAAAGATACCTGAAATGAGTTTCTGGTTTCTGCTGCCATTCTCCCTTTACCTACTTAGACATTGTTCTCTTTTCTCTGCATTCCTACAGTATGCTCAACCAGGAGGATGTCATCACAGGGACAATGTTCAGGCTCTAGGACACCATCCACCCATCCCATCCCCTCTGTCTTGCTTCAGGCATCCCCCATGTCTTGCCTCAGGCACTGTCACCACCTTGGCTTTTCCCTGCCCATATCCAGCACCTCTTCCTGACCCTGAGAAACTTTCAACCATACTTAGGGAAGGCTCAACCAAGCTTGAACTGCAAATCCCATAGCACGGTTCCCCTGACCTTTGTGTCTTTGTTCCCATTCTCTGCTATTGTCTGTCTTTCATTGACACATTGTCTTAGTTACTGTTCTACAGCTGTGTGGAGACACCATGATCAAGGCAACTTATAAAAGAAAGCATTTAATTTGTGGCTTGCTTACAGTTTTAAAGGGTTAGTCCATGATCATGTCAGGAATCATGGTCCCAGACAGGAAGGAGGGATAATGGAACAGGAGCTGAGAGCAGAGAGAGAGAAGGAGGGAAGGAGGAAGGGAGGGAGGGAGAGAGGGAGGAAGTGAGGGAAGAGGGAGGGAGGGAGGGAAGAAGGAGAGAGGGAGAGAGGGAGGGAAGAGGGAGTGAGGGAAAAGGGAGGGAGGAAGGGAAGAAGGAAGGAGGGAGGGAGGGAGGGAGAGAGAGAGAGAGAGAGAGAGAGAGAGAGAGAGAGAGAGAGAGAGACTGGCTGGGCCTGGCATGGGCTTTACAAAATCTTAAAGTCCCCCCCCCCAAGTGATACACTTCCAACAAGGTCACACCTCCTAGTTCTTCCTAAACAGTCTACAAACTAGGGACCAAGCATTCAACTGTATAAACCTATAGAGGCCATTCTCATTCAAGCCACCATATACTTGTTCCATTGAAGGAATCAGAGTCTCCCATAGCAATGACATCACAGGAAAGATTCTGTAGTTGGACACAGGGCTAAAATTATGGTTAAATTAGAGTTAGTCCTTCTACAGTACCCCTTACTGAATGCATCTACCGACCAGGTATTCATTCCCTAAAGTAAAACAATTTGGTTATAACAAGTTCTTCCCTATGTATGGGAGAATCTGGTTCTGCAGCAGCAACTCCTACATATTACCCTCTGGGGCCACAATGACTAAGCCTAACTCATCTTCTACAGGTTGGTTGATGGCTAAGCATGCCAACAAGTGAGAATCAAGTCTGGGCTCAGCCATGAACTGGACAAATTTCTTTACATTACTTTGCCTTTATGTCCCATCTGCAAAGTGAAGTTGATAACAGCATCAGAGTTCAATGAGCTAGCAGATGCAAAAGACTTAACATAGCTCCTAGAACATAAAAGGTGCTCAGTACTATGCATTATCCAAGAACTGACTTTATTTACTTTATTTGCTCTTTTCCCCTTGGGATTTTAGCCTTGTAGAACTCTATTTAACAGACATTGATTTCCACATCCTTGCTGCCCTTGTTTATCCCATACTTGGTTTCTTAACACTCTGTTATGATAGTATCTTCCTCATAAAGTGGAGTCAATGCTGCTCAAGATCTGGAAGCTTATGCTTCCATGGTGATGACTAATTGATTTTGCTGAAGCATGTACTACCACACAATTGGATGGGTTCTAATACTGAGTCCTTTGCTTGCATGCCTCTTTGGGCTCAGAGCCATATGAGGCTCTAATTCACCTTTAAAAACATAACCTAATATTCTTCCTCTTTTATGAGACCTTGTAGACTGATCCCACATCCATTTCTTGAATTGTTGTGCCCTGTGGTGAAGTTTTGCCTGTCTTTCCACATCCTGTAAAGCACAGCTCTTAGTCCTACATGTGCTGTGTCTTGGCTTTGAGATCCCATCCTCCCTGTTCTTTCAGAGGCTTCAGAAGACAAGGACCTGGCCTTTGGGTTCCCTGTGTGTCTGAGCACCTAAGATCACATTGTGGTTATGCCACTTTTGGTGAGTTCACTTCCCCACTCAGGGATATCCTGTTCCTACCAGCCTCTGTAGATGAGAGCTGGACCGTCTAAGAGACGCCTGGCCAGTCAGGGAAGAAGTGAGTAGCTCTGACGCACCCAGATTCCCTCCCCTTGCCTGACTCTTAGCTATTTTTTATTTATTTTCCTTCCTGTGTTGAAAGAGCTATGGAGCCTGGACCATGCTCAAATTTCCTGGGGACATTCCATACATTCTTCATGGGCTTTCTCTCTGAAGAGGGTGGGGATGAGTGGCTTAGTAAGTGGGAGGCCATTGGGAGCCAGGTATGGATATAAAGTACCTCAAAGGAGTGTGGGTGGAAGGGAAGGGTGAGTTTCTCAGAGGAAAAAAAATGGGGGTATCATGAGTTCATAGAAGCAGCCAAAGGAACATCAACCTCAAGGTAAGAAGACAGACAACTTGCAAGTTGGGACATGAAGTGGGCAGCTATGTCTACAGCTTTGCCCTTGAACCTGCTAGTCTGCTGGGGAAAGACCAACAGGAAATTGGAACATGTGTATGTGTGTGTCTGTGTGCACGTGCAATAATGCAAGCATGGTATGTGAGTGAGTGAGAGAGAGAGAGAGAGAGAGAAAGACATGGGAAGAAGCAAGCAATCTTACTGAGTAAGATGCAAGAAGACTAAGGGGTCAGCACATGCAGATGGTCCTTGAAGGCTGGTTGGCCCTTCTTCTTATCTAGTAATACTGATTTATTAATTTAGGTCTACAGCCAGAGTAAGTAGAGACACTATCCCTTGATTGAATTCTGTAGCAAGTCTGGACCTGAAAATCACTCTCAGCCTCCACCCCCCCCCCAGCTCTACCACTGCTTCTCAAAGTAAAAAGAATGCCAAATTTGGGGGTCAAGGCAAGAAACAACTAGCCTTATATCTCTTTGTGTGGATAAGTCACTCTATTTCTCTAAACTTCAGTTTCCCTGTGGAATAATGAGGGTAGTGGGCTTAGATAATCTCAAGGCTTTTCAGAAGACAGTCCTATTTTGCAAGTATGATTCTACTTTGTTAGGCTTACCCTATGAGTAAACCTTCGGTGATGGGCTTAAAGAGAATTAGTGTGAATAGACCATCCTTTAATAGAACTTCCAAGATAGTAAAGGAGACAGAGTCTGGACCAGCAACTGGAGATGCAAGAAAGATGGATAAAGTGCCAACCCAGATGCTGCTCTTGCTGCACCATGAATAACCTCTGTTCAATTTTAGAGAACTGTACTTCCTTTGGCAGGCAGATTAGTAGTAGAAGCCTCATGGGCAGATGTCTAAGAATGGCACATATCCTGCTAAGAACTATGTAGGTGGTATTCCATCTCTCCCCCTTGCCCAAGTCTCATGTGTCAGGCGCATATGTCCACCTAGATGAAGTGAGCCTTACTGGGCAAGGAGGTAGACAGCCTCAGGCATCCGAGCCAAGATGTGACTGGCAGAATATTTTACTTCCCAACCTCAGGGGTTAACACTTCTCTCAGGAATCAACTCTCCTGCCCTCCCCAGCTTTAGGCAAGCAGATGATAGGACCACAATCATCCTCTCTTCCACATGCTGAAGCTAACTAAGTCAGGCCTATACCTGTGGGGCAGAGTGATGGTGCAAGACAGAAACAAGCAGGAACATTTCCTAAGAGCCAAGAAATGGTCAAAAGGAATTAAAAAGACCAGAGAAGGCTGGCAAGTTCTCTATCTTCTCATAACTCTTGCCACCCCATCTACAACAATTCAAAACAAGAAGAATATGGGAACTCTTCCTCAGACTGCCTTCCAGCTCTCTCTTTTCCACAGTCCTCAACAACAACCTCCAGGGCTCTAAATGGATTAGGAGAAGGAGCCTGGTAATGTCAACATCAAAGGATGAGGTGCAGCAAAGTCTTGTCTGTGCCTTCATCCCCAGGTGCTAGGACTAGTGAGGGGTGGCGGAGAGTAAGCTTGGGAAAAGGGGAGAAGAGGATTAGCTGGGACCGGAAAGAATGTAGCTGTTATAATCCCACATAATGAACCAGACTGTGCTCCCTATCCACACCCTAAACACTCAACAAGCAGGTACAAGCTATTGGCTTCAGCCTCCCTCACAAGAGGCCCCCCTTGTTGTCAGTCCCAGACAGCCTGTTCCCTCCAGCTTGTAGGGGTACACAAGGAGGCCTGAAATGTATCTCCTTCCTCTTGGCCTCTGAGATTTGGGTAAGAAAGTGGGAAGGGCAGTCTACAATTGCTGGAAAGATGGGTAATTGGCCTTGTACCTTGTACCTAGGCACCAATCATGTACACTACAGGTCTTAGGACGCCAAACCTATCCTAGCCAACTTCTTTCATTTTACAGTCAACTGCTGGGTCCTAGATAGGGGTTGCAATGCATATGATTCAAAATGTGGACAACAACAACAAAAATAAGTTCTACTTGATTTGGGGATTAAGAGCGTTTTTTCTCTTTAGGCAAAGGACCTCAGTATTTAACAACATTGAAATACATTTGTATATCTTAAATGCTCACTGACTGATGGGTGTAGGAAACAATTTAAGGTAAAACCACAAAACTGACCTCTATCTTCCTTCCCATTCCATTCCCTTCCCTTAAAAGAACAAGGATTTCCCTATAGTTAAATCTCTACTGACCACTACGTTCTAGAAGAGTCCTTCAACTGAGAACTCAATGTGTCAGAATAGTCAGGCTGCTGATTCTTACCTTCTTTAGCTTGCCACTCTTAGTCCCCACAAAAACCACACTGTAGCCATTGTAAACATAGGAGGCCACAGAGGTTAGGCGGTCCCTGCTGGTGGTGTACAGGGTCAGTCCCTCCACAGGAGTGGAGCCTCCCAGAGGTTGATTGATGTCCAGGCCACAGAAGTTATCGTCAATGGGAACTGGCTAGAAGGACAAGAGAGAACTGGAGTGAATCACAGTGAAAGAATGGAAGGGTCATTTCAAACTACTCACCCATTGCTGTCAGTCTGAGCATGCCAGGCCACAGAGAGGATCGGGCTCAGGATCAAGGGTCTAACATGTCAGAAACAAAGCTCATTGCCAACTGGCCTACAATGACATTTTTGCTCCCATGGGACCAGATAATAAGTGATTAGCCATCTCCACTCTCCCAGAATCACATGTCTTTTACCTTTCTGCCAAGAAAGCCAGGCTCAGGTTGAAAAGCTGACTGAACTCAACTTCTGGTTCTTTTCATGACCCCTTCCACCATGTCAGTCTGTGAAACTATTTTAAACAGGATTCCCTCAAAGGATATTCAACCTAGAGGCAACATTGTAAGATTCCACAGGGCTAAAGCTTTCCTGTTTGTTCTTTGAGCAAGCTAGTCTTTCTTGGGCTGTAGAGTTTTTTCCTTGAGGCATGAGGAATTTCAAGTCATTAAACTATCACTATTACCTGCCATCCTGGGGACTCGTTGAAAGTGTCATGACAATATTGGATACTGTTCTTTGCTTTGGGATCTATTTATTTATTTATCTTTGGAGTTCTGGGTGGGGGGTGAATCTGGGAGCTCCTTCTTAGTAGGCAAGCACTCTGTCATTAAACTACTTCCTCGGTCCTCTTTTTACTTTTTATTTTGAGACAAGGTTTCACTAAATTGCTCAGGCAGAGCTTGAACTTGTAACCTTCCTGATTTAGCCTCCCCAGTAACTGAGATTACAGGACTGTACCACCAGGCTGTGATTGAAATTTTAATCTACATACACTTCATCATTTGGAATGATATACAACTCCCTACACACATTTGAAAAGAATTATAGAGGATTAAATGAAACAATGTATGTAAAAGACTGTTATCAACCTGTGCCACTATCTCTTGCACTTTATAGGTGTTCAAGGAGATTTCTTCTTAGATCAGCATTTTGAAGGAGTTAGTGGTAGGCCAGCAGGAACTGTGTCACTTTGAAAAAAGGCTCCCCTTCAACAAGAGAGAAAACTTGCTGTACCAAGAATAAGACTTGTTCCCATCCTGTGTTCTGGCTAGGTTCACTGGGGGCCATAACATCCTCTTCTGGATGTCAAAGGAAGAATTGGATGGATACTGTTGAATGAGAATGCCCCCCCCCCACAGGTGCATATATTTAAATGTTTGGTTCCCAGTTGGTGAACTGTTTAGGAAGAATTAGGAGGTGTGGCATTGTTGGAGGAGGTATGCCACCTGGAGTGGGCTTTCAAGTTTCAAAAGATCACAGCACATCCAGTCAGATGTTTCTCTGGGTAGAGAGGGGAAAGAAGGGAGGGAACTGCATGACTCTTGAGGATAGGGGTTGCTTAGTACCAGGTATGAGGCTGTATTTTGATGGGTGCTGCAAAACACCCCAGCTAACTGCCCAGCATGAAATCTTGCAGTAAAGGCTATAGATTCTGGAAAAACAAAACAAAACAAAAAACAAAACGCTTGAGTGCCAGTGGAGCTGTTCCCATCTGGTCTGGAAAAGGCTTCTCAAGACATAGCAGTGAACAGCACAGTAGCTTCCCTTAACCTTGCTTTTCCACCCTCATCAGTGAAGAGCAAACTGATGCTTCATTTCCTCAGAATAACTGGTTAATAAGTTAGAGCACATTATTTTTTTTTTCAAGCTTGTGTTCCCTCCTCAGTTCTGAGGGGAACTAGGTCATGTCTCTGGGATTTTGGTACTTGTGGACAGCTGACACTCCTACTCCTGGCAGGAATGATGGTGCTAAAAAATACATTAACATTCCATAAAAAAGAACACCACATTTTAGAGTAAGAATGGCCTTGAACTCTGGATGACAGAGAGTCCCCACTATAGCTCTCATGAGTGCTAGCTCATGAGAGATGCCTATGTATACCTCTGCATGCAATGATGTCACTCCTGCTTGAAGCAAGCCTGCCTGACAGTGTTTATATCACAGGAATTGCTAAATTCTGTAGGCCAGGGTTCTCCCTCTTCCTCTGTTGTATGGAGTCAAGTGCTTACTCTTTTCCAGTATGTTACTAGCCTCTGCCTCTCTTTCTCATCCTTGTTCTATAATCAGTGGCTTATAAGTTAGGTAATCTAGATTTTAGCCCTGTCCTTACTGTATCAGCCCTTGTTGTTACATGCTCTCTCTGGGCCTTAGTTTTTTATCTATAAAAGAGTAGAGTCAGGTCATTGTCAAAATTCTTTATAGTTTGTTTTCATGGTTTCAGTTATTTTCTGCCACTTTGTCCAGGAGCTGGTAGAGGTAGAGTTGTGATCTAAGCCAGTTTCTGGGGTGTGGTGACCAGAAGTGAAAAGCCCTCCTGGCAACTGTGGGTTTCTTTAGATTCTTCCTATGCTGGAGTCTGCAGAACTGCAGAAATTGATATGTTCTGAGCCTGGGGGTGCATGGCAGTTTCTTCCTCAGTATCTTGTCAGGTATTCCCAGTGTCTGATGTCCCTTTCCACTTGCATGGACAGCAAGTGACTGTGGCCCCACAGAGCCTGCATCAGAAGCCCATAGTCTGCCCTGAATTCAGACCCTGCTTTCTCGTTCACAGTTAAATGAATTTAAGCATTTTATTTGCACTCTCTAAGCCTCTGTCTTTATATCTGCAAAAAGGTATAATTAGTGCTTTGCCTGTGAAGATTGGGTAAGGTAATAAACTGCTCAAAACTGCCCTTCATGTGTAACTGATGGATTCCTTCTTCATGCTTTTTTGTGAGAGCAATGTTCAAATCTTTGGCCCAAGAGATATATGTTGTTCCACAGACTATGCTAAAGTCCAGCTCAGGGCCACAGCTTCTCTTTGATCTTTAAAATTCTTAAATGTCACTAAATGCATCTCTAGTCCCTAATTCTGAGATTCTTTGGATTATACGAACCCAAGGAGACCACCATTTTGCATACCCAATTCTTTTGGTGCTTTAAATGGTATTGTCCCAGGGAATGACATGAAGAGGAGTTTTTGTCTATAAGACAATAATTCTCAACCTATAGGTCAAGACCCCTGGGTTACATATCAGATATTATGATTCATAACAGTAGCAAAATTACAGTCATGTGGTAGCAACAAAATAAGTTTATGTTTGGAGGACTAGGAAGGTTGAGAACCCCTGCTATAAGGCACTTGTCCTTCTAAATCACCAGGGTTTCTAAATAACCAGGGTTACTAGTCAGGACTTGTCTCTCTGTAGCACCACTGGAGCACAGTATTCTCTTCCTTTTAATTTTGGCTGAAGGGCAAGCAGGAATCAGCAGTTTCCTCTTAACAAGGCCATGGGAACCAGGGTGGATGCTGCAAGGAGTTAACCCTTACATCTCCTCTCTACTTCTCTTGTTTGAAGAGGGTTTTTGTTTGTAAAACTTTAGTGCTATAGGGAAAAAATCCTGGAGATTATCTATTTCTCATTTTATGAAAGTAAATGAATGGTAAATAACTAGTTCTTCATTACTATGATTAGCAGCAGTAATCCTAGCTGCTCATTTACTGAGTAATTATTGTGTGCCAAACGTTTTATTTTCATAAAAAAATTATTGATCCTCATATAACATGATCCTTATAATAAAAAAGATGACACTATTATTTCTATTTTAAAGATAAAAATGTATAGCTCAGATAAGACACATAACGTGCTCAAGGACACATGGGATAGGTGGAAGAACTGATTTTTAATATAATTGATTAGACTTAAAGCTTGAATTCTAACAAGTATGCTGTGGTGCCCTCTCTCATATGCTTGAATCAAGCTGTGATTCCTTAAAGTTCTTATTATACTTAGGCATGCCCCAAGTTCTTTGCAGTTGCTACCTTTCTCTGGAATGCCCTTTTCTCTCTCTTAGCCACTACTCTCTCAATGGTAGATATTCGTTAGTACTGCTCTCTGCTCCATTTTATTTCCTCTATAGAAAATTTACCATTTGGCAGGCAGTATCATTTTATTTATTTGAGAGTCTCATGTAGCCAGGATAGCATTGAACTCACTATGTAGCCAAGGATGATTTTGAACACCTAATCCTCCTACAGTCAACTCTTCCAAGTGCTGAAATTACAAGTGTGCACCGCCACATCAGCCTAGGCTGTTTTATTTGTTTACTTGTCTTGCCTTACTAGTAGGTAAGCTCTCTGAGAGCATGTGGCTTATTCATGTGACTTAGGAGGTATCAAAACCAGTGTCTGGTGCCTGGTAAGCATACAAAGGCATGCATTAGTATTGATTTAATGAGTCAGTAAAACACATCTCAAGAATCTAATGTAGGCAAGACTCTACAATTAGTAGTTGTCACCTGGTTGCCTAAAACCCATTCTTATCCCAGGCTCTTACTGACCCAGAAGCTAAGGGTACAGGGGTACAAAGGAATCAAGAACAAAGCACATGGAGGCTCCTTACCGCCTTGGTACACTGCACATCCTTTCCTAGAAGCCAGTTGAGCTCCAAGTTGCCCTCTCCATGGTAGCAGGATTGTAACCGCTCCTTGATCTGCAAGTTGATGGCCCGGATGGGGAAGGCACAGAGGGCAGAGTCATCAGGTGGGTGGTGGTACTGCTTTTGCCCCTTGGAGAAGATGGCAAATAGCACATCTTCATTGCTGCTGATGTTGAAGGCCTGAGCTAGAGCTTCCCCAGGCTTTGCAAGGTAAGCTGCCTGCAGGAGGCGGTATTCTACCCCAGCACGTGTGCAACCAAAGGGCAGGGACACATAGGAGTGGAACTTGGGGTCATCCTTGCAGAGACGCACAATTCTTGAGGTATAGAAGAGGTCTCCAGCCGAGTTGATGGCCACACCCTCGGGGGTCTCTGGCTGAACAGTGAGAAAGTAGACAAAACCCCCACTGGCAAAGCCATAGATGTAGAAAATGTCAAAGTGGGAGACCAGGGCCAGGGTGTCAGACGGTATCTTGATGAGAGAGGAAACAAAATCACTGTGGAGCTCATAGTCCAGCATGGCTGAAGACTCAGGGTCACGGGGTAGCTTGCGGCTGGACAAGGTAGGAAAGTAATCCTGCTTGCCATCCACAGCAGTGCCGATAAAAAGCTTGCCATCTTCCCCCTCAGAGCGCACAATCACACCATACATGGTACCTGTCTTATTGACACTGGACAAGTAGTGTTCCTTCTTGTGCGATGGTTCCACCAGGATGAAGAGGTCATCCAGCCGCAGGAGCTTGCAAACTCCCTGGTAGAGGCTGCCACAGGCAAGCAGGCGATTCTCAGAGTAGTCGATGATAAGGAGTTTGTTGACATTGTTGGTGAGTGTGAGCACCTCACTGCAGGGCTGTACAATAAGGGGTGGGTAGCAGGCCTTGTTGTCCTCTTCTGGTCCTGTCTTGTGAGCCACTTGGATTGTGAGGTTGCCTGTCAACTTGTAGACACGGTTGATGGCCCCCACATACACGGCCCCTGTTCTTCTATGTACAGTCAAATGGTTGAAAGTCCAGTCACGGTTCTCAGAGTGGAAGGTGCTGAATTGAGGCATACCTGTGGTCCCACGAGCTAGCAACAGCCAGGCCACTGAGAGAAGTACCACAGACAAGTTGTCAGCCTGCATGGCCCACACCTGGGACCTCCTTTGCTCCATCCCGAGAGGGACAAGTCTTGGGGGATAGTTCCTCTGTATGCTACTCTACTTCTCTGGATCAGATCTCACATGTTTCTGAAAAATACAAGGCAAGGGTTCAGACTGAAAGTTAAGTTCTATGTATTGCTTGACCTGGATTCCAGCTGACCCTATGAATCTCTTTTGCTACATTTAAGGTTTTCTATTTTTTAACATAGTTTCCCCTCTGAGATATGCTAAGGGAAACCCATTATCATTGGTCTTTAGCCATTATGCTGTATAGCATGCTATTGTTTGTATGCTTTATTTACATTGTACAAAGTATCTTCTCAAAGTAACCTCTCAAAGAGGTTAAAAGACTGGGCTTCACTCAGCCAGTCAATACCAGTTGTCAGGACCAAAATGTCTTCCCTACATACTCACTTAAGGACACTCTACTCCAGTATGATATGTTAATAACATTTCTCCTTATCTCAGACCCCCTTTACCTCACACTTCTGGAATCCTATACTTTCCCATGCACTGACATCCACAGGGAAGGAGAAGTGTGCCTCATCTCTAACAGTGCCCCTCACTGTCCCTGAGGGAAGGGGATTTATGGAAAGTACATCACTTGAAAAAAATGGATTCCCTAAACCTGCCATCCCAGAGCCTGAAAAGGCCCCTGACATGGTCAGGAATACGTGGGCAGCAGGGCTGCAGTAGAGGAAGAACAGTTGGAGGGTCAGTTTTATCTGCTCACTGCTGGGGAATTCTGGCTGTTCAATCATCTGGAAGTTTAGCCCTGGGCCGTGATCACAGTGCTTCAAGTTCTGCCTCCACTCTTGAATGCTTTGATCCTGTTTGCATTCCATGAAGCTGTCCAATAAGCAGAAAGGACCCCTGAGGACACCGACTTAGACCAGCAAGGGGAGATCTCAGGCAAAGAGACAGAGGTCAGGAAGCCCAGCCATCCCTCTATAGTGCTTTCCCTGACTTTTAGGATGAATAGTGGTTACTTGAAAGCTGCACCAAAAGAGCATCCATCTAGCTAAGAGAGCCTTTCTCAAGTTGAATAGAGTGCCTGGGCAATCTTGTTGACAAGTACTGACAGAACTCTGGGTGCACTGAGGATGGGAAAGGAAACGTTCCAGCTAGGAAGAGAAGTAGCTCCCAGGTAGCTTAGCAAAGGCCTGTCCCCTCAACTCCCCAGTCTGGCTGGACTGGATTATAACTAGTCTGACACCACCCTACCCAGTTTTTCCTTGCATATTTAGAGATTCTCCTTCCCATTCCTCCACTCGGTAGCATAGGTTTGCAGCCACCACAATTCCAGGGTGGTCCAACCTGATTGTGTTTCTCCAGGGGGACCCTGATGGGTGTTTTGGAGGTGATTCATGAGGTCACAGGCTTCCTTGGAAAGAGGAAGGGAAGTACAAGGCTGGGGCTGACCTTAGCTACTCTAACACAACCCTTCCAGCCTCACAAGCAAAGACTCCCCACTCACCCAGATTTCAGCTTGAAAAGCAGGCTATTTTTAGCTATGTCCTGAGACCGGTAGTAGGACATGAATTCCTCAAGAGGAGCCACAGAAAGGAAATAACAGAATCCTCAATCTCTCCAGCTAAATGAGGAATTGCAGAAGACCACATTGCATGCTCTTCTCTAGAAGAAGGTGCTACAGGTGGACTCCCCTACACCTCAAGTAGCTTTAGATGGAGGATGCAACATGAGAGCAGGTTCTCCATTCAAGACAAGCTTAGAAGATGAGGCTGCCTGTCACCATGCCCGGTGTAGGTACTTGCAGGATAGAAGTGCTCTCTGAAGCACAGTGGCACTGAATTTATTCATGGCATGCTCCTGCCTTCCCACACACGTGCCTGACTCATGCACAGATAGTAGTCCGGAGAGCAGAGACCAGCATTTGAAGACACAGTCAGCCATTTCACTTCCCTCCTCCATGACATAGTTCTGTAGTAAGTGGCTTTTGAAATGAATCTGGGACATTAGACTGATCAAGTCTCATTTCCATCTTTGTTGGAATGAGATAATAGCAGTACCTAGCTCTCTGGCTGTCATGAAAGTCAGTGTGGTACTACAGAGGAAGTTCTTAGTCACACCACTGGTACCTGTTACATTATCATAAAGGGCTCCGATAGGAAATGGCACTGGAATTCCTGACTTCTCTTCTTGCTTACATTTTTCTTTCCCATGGATGAAAATTATGTGGGGAGCTTTGATGCCCCTGGCCCTGTGGCAGAGCTCATTTGGAAGTTTTGTCACAGGGAAAAAGAACAGACCCAGGCTCATTTTCTCTGTCATACTATAGCATACTAAGTCTCAACGTCTCAACACAGCCTCTCTGAAGACATTGGGGAGACTGCTGAAAGCTGGAGTCTGAGTGGAAAAACTGGGCTGGTGATTATAAGGCCTGTGGTCACAGAGCAGAAAGAAGTGCAGAGAATTCAGGAGTACTGTCCCAATGTCTGTCACTCAAAAATTGTGTAGTAGGTATAGTGGTCTAGCATTTTTCTGAGTCTGTTTCCTGAGCAGAGCAGCCTGTAAGATTCCTCCTCCTAGATGAAATGATGCCTCAGGGCCCTTCTCCTTCAGTTCCTAGAGTTTGGGGTCTATTTGTTTTTGTTTTTGTTTGTTTTTTTTTTTTTGCATGATCCTGGTGACTAGTCAGGAAATTCATTGCCAGGCCCTCCCAGGGGCTATCTACCCCAGCAGCTGCTATTGGACACTGGGGTCCAGAGGAGATACTGTCTCCAGTGGTAAGGGATGGAGAGGTTTGCTATCTTGAGGACCACAGATTCATATGTTAAGATGGATGGGGACCTGCCATGCAAGTTGACATCATGGTTACAAGCCCTCAGCATAGTATCAACCATGCCATGCGCTCAGGAGATCATAACCTTTACTACAAATTTCCAGCTCCTTGTTTTCCTCTATCATATGATCAGTCTCAGAACAGATATTCTATCCTGTTAGCCTGAAGCCTTTGACACTATACAGTTAGTACTTTCTCTGAACCCTGATTCTCTGTTTGTGCCAAACAAGAGTTTTCTTTCAACAAAATGCCTCTATTTCCATCCCATACTCTCTCTTTTGGTTGTCATATTCTGGGATTCTTCTGTTCTACCAGTTTTCTTCTCCCAGTTGTCAATTAGGGATACACTGTCCTAGACTTCTGAGTCACCCACAGCACCTTCCCAACATCTTCCCCATGGGATTTTGATACCAAGTATAATTCACAGTTGCTTCTGAGGATAGCAAGTGCCACTAAATATTTTATTTGCAGGTCTGATGACACCATCTTCCTGATTAGGATCTAGGCAGCAGGTGCTGGTGACAGCAACCTAAGGCATCTGATACATACCTGACCAGCTGGTGTAAATGTCAGTGGCAATCCAGGAAGGAAGTGAAAGTGAGGCATTTCCAGCTCAGCACAATGTAGGATCCCCTCCTTGCCCCATTGTTGCCCTTCCCATGAGGTATAGGTGCATATGCCCCCATGTTGTAACTAACTTCCCTTACCTCAGAGGAGCTGGTGACAGTAGGAGTTAAAATTGCATGCATCATGGAGAGGTTTGATATGCATCATGCCACAGTACCCATGGGTGGCACCAACATCTCAACTCTCTCCATCACTGTTGTAGCCTCTAGCATTACTATAGTACTGGTAGGACTTAATTGTTCCCACTTTCTCCATCACTGTCATCATCGTTGTCACCTCCAGTACCATTACAGTACTGATAGAGGTCCATTATCTGCATACCTTTGCTATCACAGTCATGGTTAGCTTTAGTCACCTCCAGCACCATTTCAGTATGGATAAAGCTTAACTGTTGCTGTGGTTTTCAACAGTGTTGTTACTGTTATTACTGTTACCTCCAGTACCACATGGTAATAAAAGAACTCAGCCTTCTGTATCCTACTACCATCATGGTTATTGTTATGTCATCCCTAGGGCTGTCATAGTGCTGGTAAAGCTCCGCCATCTTCTCCCTACCCATCACCATCACCATGGTAATCACCAGCACCATTAGGGTGCCAATAGAGTCCATCCTCTGCCTCACTGTCATTATTGTCACTTCCAGAACCATTGCAGTGTTTTCTGTCACCACAGCAGTAGTGATGCCTGTGTTGATCAAGTCTCTTCTTTCTGGGTGGTGCACACAGCAGGACCCAGAGGATCAGAGGGGAGAGAGGGGGCAGGACACATCTGGCATCCCAGGGACTTCTTCATCCTCCTTTTTCCATGGGCAGAGGATAACTTGTCTTCTCTCTAGGGCTCTTTTCTAGTCAGATGGAATAGGAGAGCTTTGCTTCAGGGTGGGCATTAAAGGACATTTTAAGTTTACTCTAACTTGACATCTCTGTTTTCAAATGGGGGGTAGCCAAACCCTCCAGAATGGAATTTACTTGTCCAGAATGAAACCAAATCATACAGGAACAGACTACCTTGCAACATAAAGTTAGTATTTCTTCCCTCAATGTAGGAAGTGGGTCCTGGGTGTTTGTTATATTCTATCTGGAAGCTGTGCTGTCTAGGGGACAGAAGATATTGGATCTAGTACATGGCAGAAGGGAATGTAGTGATAGACTTGGATCAAGAGCTGGTGCTGGGAAAAGATCCCGAGAAGCCTAGGATGTAGGGGGAGAGAGTCCTAAAGATAGGATTAGAATGGTCCCTGTCCAATAGCTCCCTGTGACCTTCTAGCATAGTCACATGTGGCAAAAGTCACATCCAGGAATGGCATCTAGTTTCTGTCTTAGGAGAGCTGAAGTCCTTAGTGTCCCACTTCTTTAGGTCATAGATGATTCCATAACTGGATCATATTTACTCAGAACATTCCTTCTTCCAACAGAGTTAGGGCTACAGCAGGTGTTGAAGGTTTTTTTGTTTTGTTTGTTCTGAGACAGGGACTTTCTATATGGAACTCACAAATAAACAAGATCAGGCTGGCCTTGAACTCACAGAGATCTACCTGTCTCTGGGATCAAAGAAGTGTGCCACCACACCTGGCTGAGGTAGGATATTAAGGGAGATTGGCCATTGATAGGGTAGACTGCAGAAGAGATTATGGAGGTT